TAAGGCAAGAATGATTGGTCCCGCGAAGATAAGTATTTTAGAAAAAAGCACTCAGCAATAGCACTGCATACATTAACACACTACTACATAATAGGGTGGTGGGAGAGGTTTATAATTCTAAGAAGTAATATAAGCAGGTGGAGAGAGAGATTGATTACTGAATCCTGGTTCATTGAGCCTACACCCAACATATGCAACAAAAATGACTGAATGCAAATACCAGTAATATGGGAGATATTATTACCGCCAGTCAAATCAGAAGAGGATAACAGATAATCTCAAAATTCGATTTCAGTTCAATTCGCCTACATCACAATATTCTAACAAGTTACTTATTCATTTCGGCTTTAAAATCACTCCTCTTATTTCCCATCTGATTGTAACTGATGAATAACATTCATGTTATTATTATTTCTGAATGTACATTATCACATATCGATTTTTATTCAAATGTCTAATCATCAATTCCACACATGTATATAAATGAAGCAAGAAAGTTGTGTGATTGAATCACTTGATATAATTATGAGTGGCAATAGTTTGTGCTCGAAACGTGATCGTATCAGTTAATATGACTGTGTAATATAACTGTGTGATTTATCAAAAAAAATCTTATCCATAATGGAGTTATACTCTGTTTACCACAGTGCCCTAGTTTTATACTTTCATTTGATCTTTAAGCCGTTTGAACTTCCATGTCTGTACTTCCATAATCAACTGACGCTTACCTTATAAGTTACAGATTTCATAGTATTTGACATTTTTATAATTAACTTATGAAATATGAATTCAATATCCGAACCAATGAGTTATATTCATTCATTCATTCATATGTATTCATCAATGTGCTAAATTACATTGTTTGATAAGCAGTGTAATGGTTGCGCGTCGGTGGCACAGTGGTTAGGACTCTCGTCGACTATGCACATGCTCCGGGGTTCGATATCCTGCGACTGACGCACACCTGATATCTATCTATAGTCGGCCTGGAAAATTTGGGCTATTGATATCACATGCTGAAAATTCCATACTTTTACCAAAATATGGTGTGTGGAATCAAGCTGTAATAAAAAAAAAAAATAAAAAAAATATTAGAAAGGTAGCGTTACTACGTAACTTACCGTATGAACGAATTTGTTTCGTTTACGCTGTCATATACACAACTTTGAGATATCAACAACAGTTAAGCGGGCACCTATGCATGCACCTACTTTGGCTGGGTTACTTTTTTGAATCAAAAGAAGCTCTGATTATTTTGGTGAGATATTTTTTCCCATAAAATTTAGTTTTGCACAACTGTAGTTGGTGAAGAATATGTATCGACAGAGGAAAATCCCTGGCAAAGTTAAACTTTCAGCACCAATAACAACCAATCAGCAAACGACCTTGAACGGACCAATCACGTGAAAGAGTTATTTATGATAAAGGGAAACGTATATTTATGGAAAAAAAAGCATAAAACTCTTACAGAGGGTACTTTCTCTAACATGTGAGAGAAACATCTCCAGTTAAGCATAGGACTGTCAATAGACAAGTTACACCACATTCTGTACATATATTACCCAAGTGACTGTAAATGAGATCCTTTTCAGATCCATTTATAGCCTTAATCGCATTTTGCAATCTTCCCCAAAATCCTTCTATAGAATTTGTATGTGCCCTCGTAATAGGATCGACAAAATCAAGTGAATGGTTCACTCTATGATGAATATATCCAAGAGATGACAGAGAGTCGTAACCTTTCCATTCAGCCGTATGTATTATTGATCCCTGTTTCACAAGTCTAGTAATAATAAGTATTAAAGTAGTTGAATTTCTGTCTGGTATTCTCGCCACGAATCCTTACCTTAGGTAGGTGTCATATAAACCAATTACCCGAAAATTGTTGACTCGCTTACGATCACGGTTATATTTTTTCTTCAGTAACACAGTTTCGTCCACGTGTAGGACAACGCCTTCTCCGCCCAACGACGGAGTAATTTTCTCCACTTTCCACGATTCAATGTCTCTGCAATGCTGATACCACTGATCTATTGAGACGAGGCTATTCTCGGTTTCAGCAGCTGAGGCTCTAATCGGCTGCTTCAAGATCCAGTAGTTGCAAATATGCGACCTTGCAAAAAAAGTTCCTACAAAATAATAAAACTATCAGCTTACCCTCTCTAATGTTAACTCGCCTCAAACAAATTGCACAACGATAAACATATCCATCAGTTGATCTACTGAAGCTTTTTAAAGTCATACACCACCACACGAACAAATTCTCTCCTTCCGAAGCAACCCTAAATCCAGGCAATACTGGAAAACACTATCGTGTAGTAGTAGCCATCTTTGTGACCAACAGTATGGCATCGACGGCATTTATGCTGTTTGAATGGGCACAAGTTTGCGAAATGCCAGGAACCAAAGTGCCAGCAGGCTGATGGTGGTTTATGCTGAGGATGAAACGGTGAGGTTGATGTCAACGGTACTGGACGCACCGCATGCACTTCTGCTGCATTTTGGCAGCCAGACTGCACCAGGACGATATCGTTATGAATGCTGATTAAACGCTGGTATTCTTCACCGACGTCTTTCAAAGTCATTCGTGGATCTTGTTCCAGATGATTTAATAGGCGTGTGCGTATGTCAGCGAATTTGGGGGACTGCAACCCACAAATGAAAATCAATACCTTGAACTGGTCTTCTGAGAGCGATTTCAATTTAAAACATTCACACGTGCGATTGACTATACCGAACTGAGTATGGATATCATCATTTTCGTTCAGAACTAGTTTCATGCAATGATATCGAATGTTGAATGAAGATCTCTGATCACAAAACTGATGACAAAGGGTATGGACAGTTTCATCGAATGATCTTTCGTTGAGCTTCTGTGGGAGAATTAAGTTGCAATATTTATCTAGCCATCTGTTCCAATTTATGAAGTAGAAGCCGTACTTTCCAGGCATCATCTTTATCCGCAAAGTCTACTCGAAATAGGTCTTCATATCTGCGAAACCAGGTATCAAAAGTCACGTTCGCATCTGGATGATCATAAATGAATTCTGAGATGCTACTACCAATGCTGTCGTTGGCTGTAGATGAATCGACAGGGTGTGATATCTGTAGACCACCAAGCATTTCCATCATTTTTAGCTGCTGTTCCATTAGTTTCGCTAAACGCAAATGGGTCCATCTTGAGCAATCCCGTCGCCAAATTTGTATGAATATTATGACCTTGTAGACTACGAGCGAATCTAACTTAATGCGCTGGCTAATCTGTCCTAATCGCACGTCAACTAACTCACTAATATACAAAATCACTGGTTGTGATTTGAATCCATCATAGTTTCATGAAGTATTTAGAATTACTGACTAGAAATTCTAGCTTAAGTATTGTCAGACTGTCAGACAAGGGTAGCAGAGACCTAAGTGAGTCATATTTTCAAACATCTTACTCCATTGACAATTTGTTTGGTGTCTCTTGACAACATGAATCAAAATCTCAGAATGAATCACTTCAAAAATCTAAGCTACAGTTGTTGCGTACTTCTTTTTTTTATTATTACAGCTTGATTCCATACACCATATTTTTGGTACAAGTATGGAATTTTCAGCAATGTGATATCTGTAGCCCAAATTTTCCAGACCGACCATAGATAGATATCAGGTGTGCGTCAGTGGCAGAGGATCGAACCTCGGACCATGTGCATGGTCGGCGAGTCTCCTAACCACTGTGCCATCGACGCACGATCTCTAATCGAAAACACTTCATCCTCTCAACTGGATCAGACATTCAAAAGACTTCAAATATTTAATGTATGCGCAACTTTGTTTTATATTATAAAAAAAACTGAGAATTTTTACAAAATACGTTGAAGATAACTCTGTCTCTCTCATTACAAAAAGAAAAAATCAAACTTCTATTTACTAATTACTACTACTAAATGTTTTATATAAACAGTAGTATATCAATAAATAATTAAAAAAATTGATCAATAACTAATTAACTAAAAGATAAACAAAAAAATTGAAAGATTCCACGAGGTTGGCAAAGCAGTTTGAGGAATTTCTCAACTACAAGAAAGAATAAAATAGCCCACACACCATCTGATGGGACAGGGCAGCGGGGTATTTTATTTATACAGCACAAGTTGTAAAGCTTTCACCTAGGTAGAGCCCGAGTCTAACAAGGAGGAAGCCGTATATATATATGGACAATAGAAGCGAAAGGTACAGGAAGTTGCTGTAAGTTACTGGACATTACAATTGAGAAAAGTATCCAAGGAATGTATGTATACAGTAATTAGAAAATAACAACCAATGATTTGAAAAGTTCTTCTTCAACTACTTATTCTTTTCTTGTTATATTGTAAAATAATATTACGAAGAGTAATAAATACGTATATATATATATATATATATATATTATTGGTATAAATGAAAGACAGTCTTCTAATCAAGATGATATACAAGAGTGGAAAGATGTACACTAATATACAATACAAATTATTCATTGTTCTGTATTCGGTGTGTAAACAACAACCTTTTCTGGAATATGATGTTTTCTTTGTTCACTTGATTTGGTTCTAAAATCAGCGCCTATTTTTGATCTATTATTATTATTATATATGAGTTTTCTTCGAATGTGATTCATTCGCGTTATCTTTATTACCAGTATTAGGCATAATATTTGTATCAATAAGCATTCCACTCAATTTTCCCTGTTTAACCGACTGATTAAATTTATTATTATTACTATTACTCTTGGGATTTTCATAAACAACAGGCGGTATATCTTCCGAAACAGCTTCCGGTTTAAATGAAGCACTGGTGAAGACTTCTGTGGCAGTTGTAGATATACTAAGTTTTGGTCGAATAGCATACTCTGGATGTGAAGTTTTATCTTCTACAGAATTGATAGTAATCAGAGGAAGAGGAGGAGGAGCAGCGGCAGCAGCACCTTGACCAGCACCACCAGCAGTGATACCAATCCACTTCGAGAGCCTGGTATATTTTCAATGTCACGGGTCAATGCATCTGTTAGCTTAGGTTTACGATCACGATAGCCATAATAAATGCCACGATAGTGTAGCAATGATTGGCATACTAGGAGACATGAAGGAAAACAATGATGTGCTGCACGATTATTTATTTCTAGAATACTGTCTAGCACAGACGATCGAATGAATTCAATCGGACGATTACCACTACTACTGTTAGGCGAACACTTATCCAGATTGTCAAGTTTGAATAAGATAAGATCGCAGCAATTTAATAATATCATTAGTAGACTTGATGAAGTCGGTATACGCGGACGTTTCGACAGACTGGCTAGCCGACTAGAAAGTTTTGAAAATCTTGACAACGAGTGAAAGGCTAGAACAGAGACAACAGAATTTTGTAAGTCAAGAGTGGACAACATTTCAAGATAATTTTGAATGAGGCATATAATTGCTGACAGACGAAATGGCTGACTTTGATTATCATTCTCACACTTCACATTTGCATCAGTCCTTTCAATTGTTTCTCTAATCGACACAGGATTATGAAAAACGGATGGTGTAGTTAATGATGGTAAACGAAAGTTGTTGATATCACTACCGAAACACTCGAATTCCCCCTTAATAGGACCACTTTTTGCAAGATAACAATTGCAGATACTTAACAGGCAAGATTCCAATAAACTCAAACTCGTTAGCAGAGAAGACTGGGATGATTCTGTTTGACTGGAAACACTTTTTTTCACCTGGAACACTGAAGTATTATCTTCATAGGAATGACACAAGTAGGTGTGTAACAATGACGGGAGCAATAGGATGACAAAGTTTTGTAAAGGTGGTAAACCTGATTTATAGAATGCAAACAATCGTTGGCATACATCAGAGATAACACTGGTGGAGACGAGTTTTTCAAAAGTTTCTTCTATATCATCGACTAATTTAGCACTTGAATACATCCATTCAATTAGCTCATCCATGGATTCACGTGAGGATGGTTTGTAGGCAGATAACCATTTGGAAAGTTTTGATGGCATTTTTGACTTTTGTAAGGGAACTAAAGAAACAGCAAGACAGGAAAAAAACTTTAGAGTAGAATACAGACTATTGATTTTTCAGGATTAAAAAATTTCTTTAAAAAATTCAACATCCCCCCGAAACTGTCATTTCTTATGACTAGCTTTCATGTACTGTCGTCATTTTCAAAACAAACATATATTCCTTTTAAAACAATTAGTTCCTTTTATGAATTTAGATAAAGCAATAAGAAGACGTAATTTGTCTGAATCGTGGGCAATGTGTATTTGCTCAACACATTTCGAACAATCTGTTCACACACACGGACTTGTCATAGGAATGTATATATATAAAATTAATAAAGAGATAAGAGGTGGAAAATAGACCATTTAGGTCAAGTTAAAAGGACATATTGAAGGTCAAAGTAACAATGAAGACCACTAAACCAAATAGCAGAGGTAATAGTACATCTACCCTGCTATGGTATCATCAAAACAAAATTTACCAAGGAAGGTTTAATGTGATGACAAATTGTTGCTTTGAAGGCATAAAGGTCGTACATTGAGAATTTATCGGAGGATTTAATCGAAAATGTTCCACTTTATAGAGGGTATGCAGATGATATTGTAATAATCAGTGATAAGTCTTGTTCTGCCACATCAATTTTAAATCGAATGAATGAAGTTCGGAATAGGATGCATATCACTTACATCTGCAGAAGAGGAAGGTAATTGTTTATCTTCCCTAGACATATTGCTTAGGCGACGGCTTGATAGGTTAATAAAAAGATCTATTTATAGAAAACCTACCTGGACAGGACAGTATCTTAATTACCACAGTTTCTGCCCTGTTCGGTACAAAAGAGCCTTAGTCAGTGAGGTGCCTCTTCAGTAGCATCCAACGAATATCCACTGAAGACACGCTTGATGAAGAAGAAAGATTATTGACACAAATTCTGGTTGATAACAATCATCCAGACAAGTTCATCAGGAGATATAAAGTAGTCAGTGGAACACCAAGACCCACTCTACAACTCACCCCTAAGAAAGACATGTACATCAAGCTACCCAATATGGGGCATCATAGCAGCTTGATAACTAGACAAAGGCTGAACGCTGCTGTTAAAAAGACTTTTTATGCAGCTAATATCATAATATTAGAGAATGTAAAGCCATTATATCTATCTAAGCCCTTCGAACATGCGAAAAATGACGTCACATCCCACTGTATTTACCAATTTGAATGTACGCGTGGACACACATGCACATAGTGAGGACTAATCGATCTTTGCAAGTAAGGGCTTCAGAGCATATTCCAAAATGGCTCCAGAAACAAATGAAATCATCAGAACCTATTAACGGTGAGAACATGAGACCTAGCTCTTCTATTGCGAAACATATTATAGAGACAGGTCATAAAATTGATGTTAACACATCTTTTAAACCTATCTATAAAAAGTGTTTGAGGGGTATGCTAAAGTTTGTGGAAGCCCTAGCTTCCAATTAGAAAGTTTAAACCACCTTTAGGCAATCAAAGCAACAATTCGTCGTCACACTAAACCACCTTCTTTGGTAAACTTTGTTTTGACACCATAGCGGGGTAGATGTACTGTTACCTCTGTTATTTGGTTTAGTGGTCTTCATTGTTATTTTGACCTTCAATATGTCCTTTTAACTTGACCTAAATGGTCTATTTTCTCACCTCTTATCTCTTTATTAATTTTATATATAGTCATTCCTATGACAAGTCCGTGTGTGTGAACAGATTGTTCGAAATGTGTTGAGCAAATGGACATTGCACACGATTCAGACAAATCACATCTTATTGCTTTATCTATAAATTCTTTTTTTCATAAAAGTTAGAAAACTATTGAAAATGTGGCAATTTTTCAACTATAACAACCGAGTTAAGAGATAGCGTATGATATCTGAGATAATTTCATCAGGGTGGATCTTATAAGAAAGGAGACAAATTTTCCTGTAGTAAGAAACACTAGGACCGGCCTAACTACCATAGAATTCAAGATCCTAGGTTTTAAAGTCTATTTATCGAAAGCTGTCATGGAATGGTCAACTGACAGATCTCTACAGTTGGGTACCCACTGGTCGAAAACGAAACCTAGTCCGGTCGCTTGCCACTCGCGATCGGCGAATATGTAGCCCGGATACTATGGAGGATGAGTTAAATCTTTTGAGGGAAATCCTAATAGAAAAATGGATTTCCATCACGTTTTATAGACAAGAGTATACAATCGAACCTTATGAAACGTGACTTATCATCCGCACCCAAGAAAATACTGGACATGAGCTTAGAATTCAAAGGTGACTTAGCTTCCGATATCATGAAAAGAAGGATAACACAGTCCCTGAAAAGAACATTCCCTGCTGCATCTCTGAGAATAGCCTTTACTAGTTGACCATTACTGTTCAATAACCTGAAGGACAAGATTAGGGGAGGATGCTGAAAAAATGCAGAGTCTTCTGAACACCATGAGCAGCAATCTTCGTATGTTTGGCATGCGATTCTCCCCTGCAAAATGTAAGATGCTGCTACAGGACTGAACTACGTCAACTCCTAGCTTAGTGATAAGGAGTGTAGTGATAGAACTTGTTGACCACTTCACCCATTTGAGAAGTTGTATCGACACCAACGGACTGATTGGCGAAAAAATCTCAGCACGGATCCAAAGAGCTCGAACTGCTTTCGCTGACTCACACCACCTCTGGCGCAGGCGTGACATCCGGTTATCAACCAAGGGACGTGTGTACTGCTCAGCAGTTCGCTCCGTCCTTCTCTATGGCTCTGAAACATGGCCAATACGAGTTGAAGACATGAAAAGGTTGACTGTTTTTGATCATAGATGTCTACGATCTCTTTCTCATGTTAGGTGGTATAGTAAGGTAAGTAATGTTGACGTTAGGCGTAGAGTGTTGGGCAAAGAGGAAAAATCAATCGACGAGGCTATAAAGTTACACAGATTGAGATGGCTAGGTCACGTGCTGCGCATGCCTAACCCTCGCCTCCCCCGACGGGCATTACTAGCTGATATAGGTGCAGGTTGGAAAAGAGCCAGTGGTGGCCAAACAAAAACATGGCATCAATCCATGAAATCCTTGACAGTTAAACTGAGTCAGGTAGGGCGGGAGATGCAGACTTCCGGGTTGGGGCCCTCGGGACTCTGGGAATCAATGGCTGGAGACATTAAGTGACATGGCTCAAAATCGTTGTCAATGGCCAGCGCAGATGTATTTAGTCTCTGTAATCTTTCATATTTCTTTCTACCATTACCCATTCTGTTTCGCTCTTATACCTGTCAAACTCTATTCTCTTCACTCATCTTCTTGTCTACCTTTGCGTGCTATTTGGAACGTGGCAACTGGAACTGCTGTACTTCGATGCCAAGTTCTATGTTGAATCCAGACAGACTGAAGGACAAGATCCCTCTGTTGACCGACTCTATGAGTGTTTATCATATCACCTGCTCGTGTGGAGCTAAATATATCGGTCGTTCGACTCGAGTTTTGTCCGAGGGGGTGCAAGAACACTATCCTGCATGGTTACGAAAAGATGGAAGTGGAGCAATAAGAAGCGCTATCATTGAACATCTGGTCGATAATGATCACCCTATCTCTATAGCCTCCGCATTTAAAGTCATCTACAAGGCAAAGAGCAATCTACCCAAATCCCTACGTACCCGACTCATCTGTATTGCTGAAGCTTTGGCTATCGAAACAGAAAAGCCAGATCTCTGTGTACAGAAGAAGTTCGTTCAACCCCTCCAACTTTCATGGTTTTAATCCCTCTATGCTAAAGTATGGTGATCCCCAATCATATTTTGGCTCTGCCAATTTCTCATTTTTTTTCATTTTGTCAATTCAATTTGTATACTCTTCCTTTATTACGTCAATTGTCACTACTATTACTATTCTCACTTTGAACTGTCCCCGGTATTATTTCACTTGTTCCACTTGTCATTCTAAATCAATTCTATGCTATCAAATTTCACACAGTATTACGTAACGTTTTTATTTTATTCGATTTGTCTACTAATCCTTTAATTGCACACCTTTTATCAAGTTCTATCCATCCTATGAATTATTCTATATATGACATTAATTGTTTTGCCACTTGACATTTACCTATGATTATAATCACAAACAGTTTTAATTGCATTTCATACTATTATGATTATTATTTTGTGCATTCACACATATGATTCAATTCCCTCATCGGATATAATTTCTTTAAAAGAGCCCTATATATATGAGTCTACACCTTGATGATAGATTCGTTGAAAAGAGTCTCTTCGCTGAATCATTTGTTTTGATTTTCTATCTGTTACAATGGGAATTTTCCATGAATTAAAAGATAATAAGTGAGGCTTGTAGTTAACAAACTAAAGAAAACCAGGCCAGTTTCAGATCCGAACACGGACTCACTAGTTAAATTTTTTACCTCAACCCAATTCTAAAATACAGATATGTGAATTACATATACATTTTAAGGGAGTAAGAAGTAAGTTATTGTAAAATATGAGTTTGGAAAACTAAGTGGACTGCTAAAATAATTACGTTAGAATAAGTGCATCGGTTAGCTGAACGTGTATAAATTTACTTATTATTTTCCTTTATGTATAGAAGAAGGTAATCAGGACGCCTACCATAAGGAGTAACAACCAAAACGCAACAACCAAAGAAATGGTATGATTTGAACTATTAAGAATGTGATCATGTTACATTTTACTTTGGCCAGACGTCGAAGGCGGCAAGTTCACCAGAAGTTGGATGTATGAAAAATACCATCTGTGTGAGTGATGTTAACATCACTGGAACTAATTAACTCAAGCTGTTAAAACAAATTTACTATTCTCCTATTCTCATAATTCACACCACACAATAAAAACTTCAGACGGTGGAAATCAGGACAACGGGGATGAAGAAATTCAAGAGGAAGTGAGAGAAGCGAAGAGAACCTATAAATTATTGTATTATTGTAGTAAATCTTTAGATCGAAGCTCTGG